AGTTGCGCTCGAAGACGGGAAGAGGTGGGCGGTGGATCAGGCCGCCACGCTCCTCTGGATCTCACACAGGGTTTCTATTACCCTGCCGTGTACCCAGAGTCCCCACGAGATGGATGTGGAGTCCTCTTCGGCTTTGGCGGGAAACGCTCAAGCCTTTTATCCGGCTAACAGGCCAATCGCTAGCCGCCACGTGTGAATAATTTAGCACTAGCCAATCACGGGGAACAAATTTGCATACCGGTGGCGGGAACTCTTTTGCACCGTGCATTCCTCTTGCAACTCGAGCAATGCACTCTGCAAAAGAAGCTGCAGAAAAGGCGGGAACTGGTCCCTGCACGGGGGTTTCCTCTTGCTACAGGAAACTCCCGTGCAATGCTCTGCAACTTCACATGGATAATTCTGATGCCGAAGCACACACACACAATCATGCCTTTTGGGTCATGACAGCCCTGAGATTTTATTGGGAAGTGTGCCATAAAATGAATAAATAGGAATAGAGTCTATCATTGGACTAAAAAAGGAATATGGGCTGTGGCATTTTGCGCCCTTCGTGCCGCCCAGCTTGTTGGGGTGTGGCCCCTCCCCTCGACTCGCCTGCCACGACTTTGAAGAAAAACAACTAGGAGAGGGGATATTTTCCCAGTGGAGATCTTCCCGGGGGGGCTCTCCCAAAGGCCGGCAGTACTTACGGTTGTTTGGCGCGATGTTCTATGGGGTTCTGCCTCCCCTACACCCCGTCCACTCGCCAACCGGGTAGATGTCTATCAGTAATGATCTTCGGCCCTGTAGGGTGGCCCATGGCCTGCCTTCTTGGTTGTGGTGGCTTTTTCCCCCTTCTCAGGGTTTATTTTAATTCAAAAGAAATATTCCCCTGTGGAGGAGAGAGCTGCAGAGCTGCCTCCTCTACCCCTGCCTCCTCCAGGGGGCTCAAATGCTTCCTCCCTCCTGCTGTCTGCAAGGGACTCCCCTGCCTCCCCGGCCTCTGCTTCCGCCGGGAGTTGGAGGGATGCCCCTGCTTGGCTTCCGGCAGGGGGCTTAAAGTTCTCCCTGGGGTTGCCTGTGGGAGCTGCGCAGGCTGCGTCGCTCCCTTCCTGCGCCAGAGCCGCAGCACGCCCAGTGAGCTGCCAGCCTGCGCCCTCCTTCTCCAGCTCCCTCCTTGCCCTAGTTCCGTCGGGGCTTTTAAACTTTCTCGTGGTGGCCAGTACGGCCGCCGGGATTGGTCCAGCTGTTTCCCGTGCCGGAAACAGCTGATCAAACAGCCGGCGTAATGCTGGTTCACTTGGCTGCGGCCGCAGTTGTGGTCGCGGCTCCTGTTCCAGCTGCCCTGCGGGAGGTGAGTCATCCCTATTGGGGGTCTGCTCCCAGGGCATGGGGCTCGCGGGGTCTGCTGTCTCCCCTTCGGGAGTCTGTGGTAGTGCCTTGCCGCCACAGGGGCACTCCACCCCTAATGCTGAACCAGAAAGCCTGGAAATATTTGAGGCAATGATAAGTAAAGAGTAGTCAGTGGCAGGAATCCATCCATATTGCTCCATCCCTAACTATGTCCTGTAATGCTACGCACTTTGGTCTGAATGATAGTGATAATCCCAGAATCCAGGTACTGGCAAGCTGAGGAAGTCTTAACTGTTGTATACCAAGAATCATCCCAGCTCTGGCTAGAAGCATTAATGCTTAACCCCAAGGTGGCCTGCTCTGGCAACTTCCAGTCCACTGTCTTTCATGATTGGCTACTTATCTGATATAACAGCGGTTCCCAAACTGTGGGTTGCAACCCCAAATGGGTTTGCAACATCAGCAGATGAGGTAGCAATAAATAAACAGGAATCCAGGGAGCATGGGTGACATGTTGGAGGGGTGCCTACAGGTAATGTGGCAGGTGGCGGGGGAGCAGAGGCGACATGGCAGAAGGGGCAGGAGGGCCAAGGTGACGTAGCAGAGGGAGCATGTGCCCCCCTGAGATTTCTGCACCCACGGCAGGGCATGGGGCTACCGCCGGGCTGGACCAGCTCTGGGCAGGAGCTGCCTCTGTGGCTCAGTGGGTGGGACCTGGCACAGGCACCACCATGGCTGCCAAGGTGAGATGTGGCAGTGGCAGCATGGAGTTGTGCCCCTGCTGCTGCTGGGTGGGCAGGGGGCACCTCAGTTTAGTGGCCATGTTTGCACGGTGCTCCCTCTTACACTGGGTCCCTCCTGCTGGGCTATGGAGCCCCCAGTGGGGAGGGCATCAGGATGGGGAGCCCCAAACCCTCAGCAGGCAGACCACATCCTCCACTTCTCCCCCACCCCACAAGCTCCATTCTGACTGTGCTGCCCATGAGTGAGGGGACAGGATGGGGGGCAGGGGAGCCAGGCTCCATGCTCAGCTCTGGCTACAGCAGCCACTGCCTCCCACGGGCAATAGTCAGGGCTTGGGCACTGCTGGTTGGGAGCAGGGGACTGCAGGCCCTGGTCCTGGGCCACCTTGGGTGTGGAGGGCTACGGGTTGGGAGTGAGGGGCACTGGCAGGGCCAGGGGGCTGTGGGTGGGGAGTGAAGGGCACCTGGGGGGATGGAGGGCTGTGAGGTGGGAGTGAGGGGGCATACTAGTGAAATGGGGTCATGCTAACGAAGAGTTTGAGAAGAACTGTCATACAGCCAATGATCTATAATGTGAAATCCATATGGTATTTTCTCTGAACCTCATTCATTTAGATTCAGTCCTGGTTAATAATAAAACATGCCATGCTATATTCTCTGATTGAGGTGTGCAGGTAACTCTCACTATTATTACTCAGTAATACATGTATTTTTCAGAGGCAGGCAGACTCATGGGAATCACATTCCCTTTCGAACTTACACCTAAGCAGCTTTACTGGCTCAATTTGAACTGCACAGATTTTACCAGAATTTAGCCCAGAGAATGTCAAAGTATTATACCTGGTGGACTTCTAGTAAGCAGTGGGTGTGTCTACATGTGTCCCCGACTGCGCAGTAGCCACTGTTACTGTGCACTCTTGGCAGTGTATGGATCGTTTCCGACCCTACTGCATTTCTGACCCTACTGTGTTAAGGTTTGTGCCTGCAGATGCTACATAGCCATAGTGTCTTGAGTAGATATGCCTGTCGTTATGCTTTTTTAAGGAGATGGGTTGGTGATGTAAAAATTTTTGATGTCCAGGTAGTGAAGGTGAATACACAGATACCTTATGCAATGTGGTGTGTGCAATAGCAGAGGAGTTGACTCAGTGACCCAGTCCTATATTCCTAGGTCCTTTGAAAGAACCTAAGTTGAGTTAGGTATACCTTGATGATGCAAGTGCTAATCTTGTTCCTTTCAACTGTCTCCCATTCTTACATGGTTTCTCCTTTCTTGCAGGCGAAAGGGGGTCTTTGGACCACCCCTTGGCAGGTACTTCATATTTTTCATTGATGACCTGAATATGCCAGCACTGGAGATCTATGGTGCTCAGCCACCTATTGAGCTGCTTCGGCAGTGGATGGACCATGAGGGCTGGTATGACAGGAAACAGATTGGTATGATCCAGGTTCTTCTCCTTACATTATTGGCTAAGATTGGTGTGTTGGCTAATAAGGCTAACACAAAGGTAGCCAGCCTCCAGGACAGGGTTTGGCAATGTTTTTGGCCAGAGTGCCAAAAATACCCAGCCCGGGCAGGATGGGGGCAGTTACGGGCTCCCTCCGGCAGGGCTGGGGAGGGCTGCAGGTCAGGAGTGAGGGGCACTGGCAGGGCTGGTGGGGTGCAGGCTGTGGCTTGAAAGTGAGGGGCACTAGGGGCACTGTGGGCTGGGAGTGTGGGGCACTGGCAGTGCCAGGGGGCTGTGGGTTGTAAGTAAGGGGCACCAGCATACCCCAGTGGGGTGAGGGACTGTGGGTAGGGAGTGAAGTGTCCCCCCGACAGGTGTCCTTTTTTTTGAAGTGGAAAAAGGTAACCTTGCTGCTGGCTGCTATGTAGCACAGGCCAGTTGTGGTGTGCCAAACAGATGGCTTTACATGCCATACTCTGGAATGCATGCCAGGGGTTGCCAACCCCTGCTGTAGGACATACATGTAGCTAGTGTGTGAAACAGTGGGATGCATAGAAAATGTTTTCTGGCTCAGTTTTGACATTCACCTGTTTGTTGCCTCTCTCTGGAATATTTCTCAGGTACTTTTAAGAAGCTGGTGGACATCAACTTTGTCTGTGCCATGGGACCCCCTGGTGGAGGAAGGAATGCCATCACCCCACGTCTAACTCGCCATTTCAGCTCTCTCTCCTTCACAGAAATGGAGGACAGCAGCAAAAAGACAATCTTCTCCACCATCCTTGGCAGCTGGATGTGTAAGTTATAAGGACACAAGCCTTCTCCTCATGACTTCACCAGTCCTTCTTTCCACCCAAGGTTAAGAGTCGAGCTAAATATGTGATCAAGCAGAGTCAGAACCTGGAATATTAATTGAAAGTACTTCTGAGAAATTATCAGTTAATTCTTAGTTTCTAGGAGCACATCAATCATGCGATCTAAACGCCATGGAGATGTGCCAGTTACAGCACTCTTGGATGAATCAAATGTATTTACCCTGAATTCAAGATTACCCTAAATTTAAGACAACCTCCCAATGATTAGATTCTGTACATAGAAAACTTATAAATTTATTGTACTGTATTTACTCAAATCCAAGACAGTTTTTTTTCCCCCCCAATCAGCATAGGCAAAAAAAAGAGACCTCTTCAATTTGAGTACTTGCCTAAGATAGATGGCAGCTCAGCTCTGGCTTCTGTCATGGCATTGGGGCTAAAACCAGAGCTGAGCCACCACCTACCCCAGGCTGGAATGGCTCGTTTGGCAGAGGAGGGTGCACATGGCTGAGAGATTGCAGGAGAGACAATGCGGGGAGGGGGGAAAGGGGGAGGGGAGAAATCTGTAGCTTGCCCTACCCAAACCCCCTGCATTCCCCAACTGTTGTTCCCCACACTGCCAGACCTCCCCACCCAGCTGCCCCCTCTCCCTACCTTCTTCTCTGGCTCCGGTCCCTCCAGCTCCCTGCTTGGCCCCCTGCAGCCTTGGGCCTCCACTCCTGTTTATCCCACCCCTCTCCCCCTCACTGGTTAGCTTTGGTCTAGTGCCAGCAGTCTCTGTCCCTGTTCCAGCCTGGGGCACAGAGCACAGCCTCAGCCCAGCCCCATAGCTCTTGCTGCTGGCGCTGCAGCAGCTGCCTGACCAATTCATACCTGATTACAAGACAAAGGACCCCCCCCCACACTTTTTAAATGAGGGAAAACAAACTCATCCTGAAAGCAAGTAAATATGGTACTTAAAATTGAATGAATCCTAGCTTCATCAAAGAAGATTTTCAGTATGTGTGATGCAATATGGCAGATATTATCTATCTGTGCAAATGGAAGAAATGCTTTGTTTTTCTTTCTTGGTGTTCTAGCTGGACTGCTTGGAGAAAGAAGTTACAGAGATCCAGTGCGTAAGTAATATCAGTAGAATGCACTGAAAATAGGACAGGTTCCCCAGGTCCAGAGAAGGATTTTAGAGGTATGGCTTACTTGTATCTTTCAGTATGCAGATTTTGCCTACAAGACGGGGCAAGATGCACTACATAAACTCAGCAGAGGCCAGGGCTTCTGTTTGTTCTCCATAAACTGTAGTATGTAAACAGCTGAATAGAAAAATGGTCTGTGAGTCTGTCGTGGTGCTGTGGCCACTCAGAGGAATGACTTATGAAATAGAATGGACCACTTGGTACTAACTTCCAATTTTCTGTCATGGGCTTAACTTCATTTGTCAGTTTCCAGTTGTCTTTTGTTCCAGTCTGTAAGCTGAGCAGGGTAATTTGGGACTAAGGTGGGAATTTGAGTGCACAATTGCAGATCTGAGCATTCAAGAGTAAACACAGGAAAGAGAGAGGGGCACCTGGGCATAAGAAAGGGCCAGAGCATGTGGGGATTCTAAGCAATATAGGAAATTTTGGCTCCAGGGAATGAACTCAAGAATATTCTGCAGTATGTGGCTGTGATTTAAAGATGGAAGCAGTGACTTAGACTACATGTATTGAAACTCATTTAGGCATGTACAAAAATGGGCCTTTGGGTATGATCATAGGGTATGATGCAGTTTTACTTACCTAGGGCTTTTTTAATAAGAAACTGGACTAGGGTAAAAAAAAAATTGGGCTCTAAAACTGGCAGACAAGTTGTTTTAATGTTGCCATTAACCATCACAAAAGGAAATCTTTTCTTGGGGACACAACATTAATTCAATTAACCATATGGCAAATGAGGCTTCAGCAACTCCTGAAAATGCTGAGTTTACACAGCATTGTCTGAGTGCCCCACCTTTAAATGGTGATGTCACCACATCTTTTATATCTCTTCTTTTGAATCTGGCCCAGGGATAAGATCTTTTTTCTTTCATGATTGGTCTCTGAAGATGTTTTGCAGCTTCACCCTGGTCTCACAGCTGAATTTCTAAGTTCCCCATGAGCAAACAATTTCCCTTGGAGCAGTAATGAACATAGTACCCATTTGCTAAGATTCACTAAGTGGGCCTCAGGCAAGCTCCCCAGTGATGACCTGTAGCAGAGTGTTACTAACCAGTAGTCATACTGGTAGGGTTGTCAAATCAATCTGCCCTCCTGTTGTGTTTTGAACCTTCTTATTCTAAAGACGCCTCCACTGCATGCTGTTTACCTTGTTATGTTTCTGCAGCGGGAGCCCCTGAAGTTCAGCATTTGAACAAACCGCTTGTTGATGCCACTGTTCGAGTGTATTCAACCATCACATCCCAGCTGCTGCCCACGCCAGCAAAGTCACACTACACCTTTAATCTGAGAGATCTCTCCAAAGTTTTCCAGGGTATGCTTATGGCTGAACCCTGCAAAATCCAAGTGAGTGAGTCCTCCCATCATTCTGTCTGGGGAATTCCAGACCATTCAGTATATAGGGTTGAGTATCCAAATGGATACAGGAAGGATAGGAAGCTGCTCAAGACCAAGCATTATTTAATAGGGGACTGTTGTTTCCCATGTAATTACTTAGACTTGTGCACTCTGATAGCAGCCAACATGTGCAGTTGTAGTTCTTAACCTTTTAGATCCCACATTCCATCTTAACAACTGCAGAGTGATCTGCATGACTTCTGAAACTGGAAGCAGTATAGCTGGAATCAGAGGTAGCATGCACAGAGCATTTTGTATAGGACTCTGCCAACATGTGATGGCACCGTGCAGAGTTACCCATGCTAGCTCTGCACATACTGATCATGTCTACATGAGTGGTGGACTGTGCGGTTGTTACTGTGCAGTCATTTAGTACTTAGTTTCATAGTTGTTAGGGTCGGAAGGGACCTAAGCAGATCATCTCGTCTGACCCCCTGCCATGGGCAGGAAAGGATGTTGGAGTCAAATGACCCCAGCCAGGTGGCTGTCTAGCCTCCTTTTGAAGACCCCCAGGGTAGGGGCAAGCACCACTTCCCTTGGAAGTTGGTTCAGGCTTCTAGCCGCCCTGACAGTGAAGTAGTGCCTCCTGATATCTAGCCCGAATCTACTCTCAGTCAGCTTATGGTTGTTGTTCCTTGTTACCCCCAGTAGTGCTCGGGGGAACAAGGACTCTCCCACTGCCTGCTGGTCCCCCTTGGCAAGTGTATAGGCGGCCACCAGATCCCCTCTCAGCCTTCTTTTGTGGAGGCTGAACAGGTTCAGGTCCCATACCTTCTCGTAGGGCCTGCCCTGCTGCCCCCTAATCATGTGAGCGGCCCTCCTCTGGACCCTCTCGATGCTGTCCACATCCCTCCTGAAGTGCGGCACCCAGAACTGGATGCAGTACTCCAACTGCAACCTGACCAATGTCACATAGAGGGGGAGGATCACCTCCTTGGACCTGCTTGTGCTGCATCTATGGATGCATGACAAGGTGCAGTTAGCCTTCCTGCATAAGCAAGCACTAAATGACTTTGTAGTAATTGGTATTACTGTGCAGTATCATTACCGCATGTTTTTTCCAATGCTACTGTGCGGTAGCAACAAGCTATTGCACAGTAGCTTGTTACTATTGCACAGTACTGTTGCTGCATGGTTTAGTGCCTGGCAATACTACTGCACAGTAGCAACTAGCTACTGCATAGTAGCTCATTGCTACTGTGCAGTAGTGTCTCGTGTAGACACGCCCACTGCTTCCTAAACTGGAAGCCACATCTGTGTTGTATCTTTTAGCATGCTCATAAATATGAATCACCCTTGTACATCTAAATGAATTCTGTTGGATGAGTTTCAGCATCCAAGTTGGGTCAGTTGCCACCAGGAAGAAAAAAACACCCTAAGAAAGTGGTGGATTCTCCATTCCTTGATGTCTTCTAAGTCAAGACCGGGTGTCATTGTAAAGCACTTTGAGATCTCTTGGTTGTATTAGCCGAATGAGAGCCAAGTGTTATTATTCTAAACAATATCCTTGGAAGAGATTAGCTTATTGAAGAAATTACTCGAGGAAAAGTCGTTTGCCCTGTATTATACAGGTCAGGCTTGATGGCCGTAATCATCCTTTCTGGCATTAAAATCTGTGAATATGTGAAAATAACAAAGGAAGCATTAAAATGTAATGAGAGATAAAGGAATAAGTTCTAGCAGTATGAAATTTAAATCTTCTTGCAAAGAAAACCTTGTATAGGAAAGAATGAGTCAGTGTTTACTGCAGCATTAATTAACTTGTCTGTGGATTACCTGCTTTGAGCAAGGAACGCTGCTACTAGAAAAGAGAGAGGCATAGAAGCCTCCTTCCAAATTCTTCCCAGCTGCATTCGAACAGAAATTTTGAATTGGAAGATGACCTTATGTCCTAGAGAAACTAGGCAATCCCTCAGACAAGGCTATGTATGCTTTTTTAATGGGGATGTCTGACCAGGACTTTCTGACAGGATAAAGCACAACTGTTGAGGCTGTGGTACCATGAAAGCTGCCGGGTGTTCCGTGACCGCCTTGTTAACGATGAGGACCGTATCTGGTTTGATGAGCTGATGAAGAGCATGATGGAAGAGTTGGGCACCACTTTTGAGGAGGTCATACCTTTCCAGCCAGTTCTCTTTGGGGATTTCATGCTGCCTGGTGCCGACGTCAAATTATATGAGCTGATTGATAACCAGGAAAAAGTAGGCTCCTTTTGATTTTTCCACATTTTTATGCCTCTCTTTTTTCATTCTGCCTTGTTCCCCACCTAGAGAGTATCTAACAGAGCTGTGGGGTTACTGTAATGAGTTTCTAGAATATGTTAATATTCCAGGGCTGTGTTTGATAGGCTTAAAATATAGGCCTGTAATTAAAGTCTATCACATGACTGGCATTGATCAGAAAGATCTTTAGATCTTGGAAAGATCTTTATCTGAAGCTTCCAGTGTCAGCTTTAGATAGGCAATGGCCACAGTATAATTATGTGAATAGAAGCTGCCTTTCTGAATTTTCATATATCTTGAGGCAGGTAATAAAGATCCTTTAAAGGAGCTTGTGGACAACCAGCTGTGCCAACCCTTGTAAAGTCAGTGCAATACTCAACTGGAAATTGGAGTTAACATAAAACTGTTTTCTCCTAGTTACAATAATTTGATGTTTGCCATTAAAATCTTTGTAACTGACCTTTGCAAGTAATTATTCTTACTGCAGGATTCCCTGTTGGAGGCAACATTGTGAATACTTTTGTAATGTTAATTAAGCAAAAGGTAATGAACAGTGTCCTTTTATACTCAGTGCTGGAATACCATCACATTTCATCACATGGTAGCTAAGTGAACTACACTCATTAATTATTTGAGTTTCACAACATCCTTTATGAGGTAGGAAAGGTATGTTTAGAAAGAACGAGATAGTGCCATGTACTTGAGCTAGCTGTGCACGCACTAGAACCTGAACTGGAAGCAGAGTAGCCACATTAGCTTGGCAGTTGGCACTATGTAGACATATCCTAAAGGTTGTCGTGCCCCTTTTACAGCTGAATAAAGCCAATGCACCGAGATTAAAGTCTACTATGAATCTGTGGCAGAACTAAGGACAGAATCTGATAGGATAGAACTAAAGCATTGTTTAAGCGCTCATTGTAAGCATATACATTTTTGGCTAGGGAGTTGAAAATTGGGAATTGAAAATTGCTGTGGTATTTCCTCTTTTGAAAAATGACAGATGCAGACCCATCTTTTCTACAAGTTTGGTTTTCCAATTCAGCAGTGCCTCTTTCCATTTCGAGTCCAGGGAACAAGACCCAAGTAGCCACTGAGATTCTGCTTAGTGACCTAGCTGGTAGTGGTCACCTGGGGTGCTGGTGGTCTCTTCTTGAAGTGAGCACCACATCGGATGCATGTTCTCTCCGCCTGCACAAATACCTGAAGAACTCTGCAATGGTGGGGGAAGGGAGGGGCAGGGTGTACTAGTTTTCTTCACGGTTTGACTCAGCGAAGCTCATGAGGTTCTCAAGCTACTGCTTCTACGTGTTTTTCCCTCCACAGCTTAAGAATGTGATTGAGGACTACCTGGAAGAATATAACCAGATCAATACCACCAAGATGAAACTTGTCCTTTTTATGGATGCAGTGCAGCACATCTGCCGGATTAGTCGGATCTTGCGGCAGGCATTGGGCAACGCTCTCCTCCTGGGTGTTGGAGGAAGTGGGAGAGAGTCTCTCACCAGGCTGGCATCTCACATGTAAGAAATAAGACTCCTGGATAGTTGGCTAAGACAGCTGTGCCAGGACAATACACCCTTTACCCTTTTGTCCCATGAGAAAAATAGTGAACACCAGTCTAGCACAGCTGACTGACTGAATGGTGCTTGACACACAAAGTGAAAGACTCAGGTTCAAATCCTTTTCCTAATTTCTTCCCCATATTAGGAACACTGAGCAGGCTAACAGGAATTATTGTGTGAACCCTTTGACCAAGCAAAGAGTGGTCTTGGCAAATATAAAAAGTAATGCCAGTCAGTCTCTGATCCAAGAGGCTGTGAATCCTTCAGAATAGGGGGAGTACACTGGGGAAAAAGCTGAACATACAGGTCAGCCCTAGAAAAATGCAAACAAACATTGCTTCTTAGAGTTCCTAAGAGGAATGTATTGTAATTCTTTTTCAGGGGAAATGGTTTGAAAATTTCAAGATTTTGCAATCATATCTTTTTCATTTATCTTTGGTGGCAAAGCAGTATTGGGCTGGTGATGGAATGTGGACAAAAAGAGCCATGTGCTCATTATAAAGTATAAGAAAACATCTGCAGAATGTACTTCCTTGTTTTGTGATTTTAAAGACTTCTGACTTCCTGTTTCATCTTCTAGGGCTGATTATGAATGCTTCCAGATTGAGCTTTCCAAAAACTATGGCATGACAGAGTGGCGAGATGATATCAAGAAGATCATGATGAAAGCTGGCCTTCAAAGTCTGCCCATTACCTTCCTTTTCACCGATGCACAGGTACAGAACGGAAAGGCTAGGGAGAAAAACATTCACATGCCCAAATCTGAGAAATTCTTTAAAAGAATCTCTTAGAATTTCAAATAAATGATGGCCTCACTTTGAGCCAGTTTCATCTTTGATTTCCTCAGTGTCCTGTCACTCATCTTCTCACAATATCATCACAAGAAATGAAAGTGGGGCATGGGTTTTCACAGGAATCATAACAACATTTACTGTATGAAGGATCTGATTCTGCAGCTGCATGGAACTTTCTTTGATATCAGTGGATTCCACCTTTTGGAGTGGTTATAACACCAGGACCATTGCTCAATGTATTCAACTCTGGGTGGCAGAAGTCAGGTTCTTACATCTCTGTTTAAACCAGGGATAGGCAACCCCTGGCACATGTGCCAGAGTGTAGCACGCAAAGACATTTTCCTTGGCATGCACACCTTAGGACAGATGGTGGGGGAACTATGAGGGGCCTGATCTTTGTTGTGGCAGTGCAGCCCCAGCCCCTTCCCCACCATCCACCTCAAGGCGCACGTACACCCACCACCTGCAACAAGCCAGGCCAGGGCTTCATGGACCCTGGTGCAGCTGATTGCAGCCACCCCACCACCTGCTGTGAGCAGCCGTGGCTCTGGCAGGCGCACATGCCTTGGGGTGAATGGCAAGAAAGGGGCTGGAGCTGCACAGCCAGAACAAGCTTCAGGCCCCTTGCGGCTCCCCTGCTGTCTGCCTCTGGTACACCAGCATCTTACAAAGTCAAGGTTATGGGCGTTTTTGGCACTCTGCCCAAAAACATTGCCAACCCTTGGTTTAGACTTCATTGGCAATTGATGTTCAAAGGTGCTGAGTGATATTAGGCCACTTTTGTTTAGTGCCTAATGTGGAATTAGGAGCCTGCATTTTGGGAACCAAGTTTGAACATGTTGGCCAGTTCCTGTAAACTATCATTACATAATAAACACAATCAAATTCTGGAATTTCACCATTGTCCTATTATTGATTATTTTACAAAGCTCATTAATGTCATATTTATTTTCTAGTAGTTTACAAGCAACATGAGTATCACATATCCATTCTCTCATCCTCTCCTCAAGGGGAGAAGTATGTGCAATGGAGTGTCTTGTTTCAGTAGCATGCATATATATATTTATTTATTAAATCTACCTCTTCCTATATATTTATATTGGAGAAAGCAAGTCAAAGAAATGTGCTTTGCACTTGGAACAGAAGGCAGCAAATTTCATGATGGTCTTTAATTCTTGGGGAAGTTTGTTCCTCAAACTCAGGTTGGCCACTGAGAATGCTGTGTCTCCTACATGGACAAGCTAGGTCCTTATTGTGGTGAGTTTAACTGTGTCATAGAAGCAAAACTGTTGACTAGCTTCTTTTTCTGAGAGTATTAGACCTTCTTTTAAGCATTATACAACTGGGGGGGAGGGGGGGGGGGAAAATCATCGCTCCTGGGAGCTCAGATTTTTTGCTATCGCAGGTACCCTATCTATGTAATTGCTTCCAGAAACTTACCAAGCTTCATCTTGAAAGCAAGTAGGTAATTTTCCCCAAACTCTTATTGGAATACACGTTGTGTTTATAAAGAGCAGTCATATCTCCCTCAGCCTTTTTTATGCCAAGCTACACAAGCCAAGCTATTGTAGTCCTCTCTCATAAAATAGGTTTGCCATTTCCATGGTCATCTCAGTATTCCTCTGTGCCTGTTTCAGTGTGACTTCATCTTTCTTGATCCTGGCCAGCATTGTATATTATATTCTGATGAGATCTCACAAATGCCTTGCATAGTGGCAGGGATACAAGTTTTAGCCATATTGGTCTACAGGCAAAAGTATTTGGAATTCTTGGTAGAGGTGTTACTTTTTATTAGACCAACTAAATAGTTGCAAAAAAGATTTTTTTTTTTGCAACTATTTAGTTGGTCTAATAAAGAGTAACACCTCTACCAAGAATTCTGAATACTTGCGTAGTAGTAATTTATTTTGTTTTTTTGCAACTAGTTAGTCTAATAAAATACATCACCCTACCAAGAGTTCTGAATACTTGTGTAGTGGCATTAATACTTTCCTATCTGTATTGGTAACATCTCCTGTATTGATTTATAGGCTTGCTTTTTCCTTTTCCATGGGTTGTGGTGAGCTCTCAGCTTAGAGTAGATAATTTCTCTTGTTTCTGAAGAGCATAATTTAGCATTTTGTGTTATTAAATTTCATCCTATTCCTATTTCTCAGTCTTCAAGGTCATCCAGTTTTTCCTGTAAGAGATGGACTGGAATATCAATATCAGAGGCATAAAAGGGCAGTTCTGTGCCATGGGCAGTGGTGGTGCAGGGTGTAGCAGC